AGAAGAATGAAACTAGTCCCTCATCTCTCACCATAGGTTGTGGGAATGTAAATTAGTACAGCTACTATGAAGAACAGTATGGGGATTCCTCAAAAAACTAAAAATAGATCTACCATACGATATAGCAATCCCACTATTGGGTATTTATCCAAAGAAAAGGAAATCAATATATCAAAAAGATACCTGCACCCCCATATTTATTGCAGCTCTATTTGTAATACTCAAGATATGGAATCAATCTAATGTCCATCAATAGATGAATGAATATACACAATGAAGTATTACTCAGCCATAAAAAGGAATGAAATCCTGTCATTTGCAGCAACATGGATGGAACTGGAGGACAGTATAGGATTTTATGTTAAGTGAAATAATCCAGGCACAGAAAGACAAATGCCACATGTTCTGACTCATGTGTGGGAGCTAAAAAAGTTGATCTCGTGAAGGTAGAGAGTAAAATTTGGTTACCAGAGGCTGGGAGAGGTGGAGGGGCGGATGAAGAGAGGCTAGCTAATGGGTACAAAAATAGAATTAGAAGGAATAAGCTCTAGTGTTTGATAGCACAGAGGAATGACAATAGTTAACAATAATTTATTGTATATTTCAAAATACCTAGAAGAGAAGATTTGGAATATTCCCAACACAAAGAAATGATAAACATTTAAGGTGACGGATAGCCTAATTACCCTGATTTGATCATTATGCATTGATTGTATGCATGTATCAAAATATCACATGTACCCCATAAAGATGTGCAATTACTATATATCAATCATTTCTTTAATTTAAGAAAATGGCTTAGTGAATGCAAGCACATAGCAAAAGCTGACTACATGGGAGCTACTGTTAGCAGCACCAGCAACATTTTCTGTGAGTGACTTTTTGGGAAATTGAGCCTGTAGTTTCTACGGTGACCATATTTTTCAAGCGAGGAAAAAAAAAATGGGACTTATGGGGATCAGATGGGATATTTGCAAGTTGAATTGCTGAGAAATCAAAAATATCTATTATTCTACTACTAGTAGGTACACCTATACCTCGTTCTATTTTCTAAAAAGGCATGAGACATTAGCTGCAGAAAATATTTCAA